TCACTATCTTCTAGCTTCACAGGACTGTTAGCAATCTCTTTACAAATGGAGCAATCCTCCACAGATTTTACACAGATTTCACAAGCCCAAACCCTTCCAAATCTTAGGTGATTCACAATTACTCTCAAAATTTCAAGAACACAGTGTTTGCAACACTTTTGCAAGATGAAATGGTATCTTTGCTTTCAAAGAAAGCTAATAATAAATATCTCTCAAAGATAGATATATAAAATAATGTTTTGATTTTTCTGTAAATCTCACACAGGAAAAATATGCTTAAAGCTATAAGGCTCAGTGTATGATTTCTGAGAATAGATGTGAATGATTATAGATCAAAGAATATTTTCAGTTTTTTTTGTAACTTATTTACATTAGAGGCTTTGATACATATAATGAAAATTATAACCGTTTATAGCCGTTGTATTTATTTGAATTTATAGCCGTTTATTGCTATTGTAGTCATTTGAATTTATAACTGTTTATAACCATCGTACTTCCATCATTACCAATTTGAATATCTTCCATTCCATCATTACAAATTTGAATATCTTTCACTTGACCTTTTGAACCTTTTGGCCTTTTGAACCTTTTATAGCCATTGTACTTCCATCATTACTAATTTGAATATCTTTCACTTGAACCTTTTGGCCTGCTGCGGTGCTAGGCTGTTTGAACTCCTGATTTAATCAAATATTAAATACATTCTAACAACATTTAGGATAAATGTTTAGGTAAGAAATAATGAGACAAAATAAATTTTGATTCTATTTTTCTCTTTCAAATAAATCATCAAAATAAATTTTGGATTATATTTTTCTCTTTCAAATAAATTAAAACATAATTAAATAAATCATCAAAATAAATAAGTCTAACAGTTTGATTCAACTATCCAATAAAATTGAGAATATTATCAATTTTTTTCAGTTTTAAAAATGAGAACATTACAAGTTTTTTCATTTAAATTTTTTTTTTTCCAATTTTGTACGCCAATGTTCTATCATCATGCTCTTCTATAGACACAAAATTTTCAGTTTTGCACAAAAAAAAAAAAAATAGTTTTTTTAAATTTTCAAGTTTCATTAAAGTTTTTTTCTTTGCACATATATATATATATATATATATATTTTTTTTTTTAATTTTTTCAATTTAAAAGTTAATGTTTTAAAATTTTAAAAATCAAAATAAATGTCAAATCATCATGTTCCTTTATAGATAATCATAAATGATTAACAATCATTGTTTGAATGGTAATTTTAATTATTAAAATTTTAATGAAACTTGAAAGTCCAAAAAATCTTAATTAGGATTTAATGAAGTATAATGTTTTAAATTAGGATTTCTGTGTAAATGTCCTTTTATTTTAAGTCTCAATAAAAAAAATCTATAAATCAATAAAATGTGATATTCAAATCATTTTCCACAAATTAATATACAAAACAATAATTTGCTTGGTTTTATTTTTCTAAAAACAGTTTTCAGAAATTTTACTTTCTTGTTTTCCGTGTTTTTTTTGTTCTTATTGAATTTTTTTAATAGTTTAAGCCATTTTTTTTATTTTCTTGACATACTTAACATAAATATACGTAAAAAGTAAAAAAATTATGAAAAAAACCTTTTAAAAATTCACTAAATACCAAAAATACAAAAAAAAAATACGAGAATTCAATACATTTTTTTTTGTATTTTTATGTATTTATTAATATTTTAAAATATTTTTTCACATTTTTTTGACTTTTTAGATACATATAAGTAACGTACATCTAAAAACGTAACAAAATTGTTTAAAATTTTAAAAATATTCACTAAAAATAAAAAAATACGAAAACTAAAAAACTCAATTTTTAAAAAACTTAATCTAAAAAACTCAAACCAAACATTATTATGAAAAAAATTATTTGATGGAAATGAGGATTGAGAGTCATTTGATTAACGGTACTAGGATTATGGAAAGATTGTTTGTGAACAAGTGGAAGATAGCTAGTATAAAACATATAGGAAAATTAAATTGGTTGACATTTGGTTCGGATTTTTCAAAAATAATTTTATGAGTTTTTCATTTTTATTTTTAATAATTTTTTAAATATTTTAATCAAAAAATTTAGTTTTTAGATTCACTACTTAATATGTGCGAAATTTGTGAAATAATCTTTCATAAAAATTCAATATATTTTCGTATTTTGTTATATTCAATAAATTTTTAAAAGATTTTTGTAAAACTTTTATATTTTTTAAGTGTATATAGATTACGTAAATCTCAAAAGTATTAAAAAAAATGATGAAAATGTCAAAAAATTCACTAAAAAAATTACAAATTAAAAACTTGGAAAACCTTTTTTTGAAAACTCTAAACTAAAGAGTGAAATGTCTACCTTAATACCATAATATTATTATTAACTATCAACTCATCTAAACATTAAAGTTATTTAAAAAAAAACAAATTCCAACATACACAAGTCCACAAAAAAATCTTCTTGCAAGTTAGGTTTTTTTTCTTTTAGAACGAGTCTTTTAAGCATTGGTTTGGCCTGAGGGGTTAGGGTGAGTTGGGGCTAAAATAGTTACAAAAAGAAAAAATAAAATTTTTAGTTTCAGGTTAAAAAATGTCACATCAAATCATACTTATTCTATTTTTTCTTTCATAAAAATTAAAAAAAAAAAAAACTCTTCACAAAAGAGACTTTTTAGCCCCTAGACTAAAGCCAAAAAGCTAAAAAATCAACCCACATCCCAAACGAAACCTTAGGTTTATTTATTTATTTTTCCTTTTCCTTTTTGGGTAATAGGGAGGCCCAAGCAAAACATAAAACAAAAAATAGAAGGTAAAATTACAAATCAATTGTATTTTTTCAAAATAATTACAACTCAATAATTAAAGTTTATAAAATGTATCATTAATTTGAATTTTTTTCTTTCAAATATAAACTGATTTGTTATTTCTCCAAATTAAGCATATTTGAGATTATATAAATAAATATATTTTTTAACTTTTTACAAAAAAAGAATAAATAAAAAAAATGATATAACCTGAATAAATACACTTATCTAAATAAATGCACTTATATAATACATGCAAAATAACCCCTACAACTAGAAATGAATACAATCATTACAAAAACAAACTTCTTAGCATCTGTTTGGGAAGTGGGTTGGCTTTTTGGCTTTTTGACTTTTTTGACTATATGAGCCTGAGCTCAAAAGCTTAGTTTGGGAAGGGCTTTTGGCTTTTTGACTTTTTTGATTTTTTTGTGAGAGAAGAATGAAATGATTATGGGTTGGATGAGATGTTTTGTCTGTTGTGACTCATGAGCCTATTCTGTCTTTTATGACTTATTGAGCCAAAAAAATCCAATGAGCCCTTGCCAAACCATCTGTGCTCCGATAACAAACATTGCAATAAAGAATACACTCAACAATTAATTGAATTGTACATTTTGGTCATCATCCAAATATATACTGATTTGGTATTCTTGGAATATGACATTCCATATTATTTATATGATGTTTTAAATCAAGATGAAAATATAAGTGGGAGTCTTAAAAAATTATAACAAGTCGATGAAAAAGTTTAAGAATTTAATTATTAATATTTATAAAATTTACTATTAATTTGTAATAATTTTTTCAAACTCCCATTAATATGTATTTTCCTCTTAAATCAATTGCTTAGGCCCCGTTTGGGAACAGGCTAATTTAGTAACTTTTTGACTATTTGGCTAAAATATGAGCTAAAAAAAACTAATATATTTGGGATGACTTTTTGACTTTTTACGAAAAGATGTGCAAAAAGTAGAGAGAAAAAAGAATCTTTGACTTTTTGGTATGAGTTGTTGGCTTTTTGACTAATTTAGTAACTTTTTGACTAAAATGAAGGGTTTCCAAACGAGACCTTAATATAAAATTTTAGGAGAAGAATATGATTATTCATTTTTATTATACAGATGAGAAATAAAGAACAACTCACTTAGGTCTCTTTTGAAAAGAACATAAAAACCCAAAAATCAGCTATTAATCTATTTTGAGTCACATCATCCTTTATACTTTTTTTACATGTGTTTTTAAAGAAAATCAAAAAGTCAACTTTTAACCGACTTTCCAAAACAACTCTTATATGTTGTAATTTTTTATTTACTAAAAGTATCACATCAACTATATGAAATGATATTATAGCTAATAATTTATTAATGGGACTAGCGTCTCTCCAGTCTAGTGAATGGACTAGACCATGTTGTCTAAGCCAATGAGACTCACCATGGGCCCTACATCAATAATTAGAATTGTTTGATTTTTAAGTCATACGTATAAATCATTTATGAAAAAAATAGGTCAATCTAAAACTTGTACCTACATAACATTTTCACATTTGTCTTAGAAAAAATGAATAAACTAATTTCTAAAAATGTTGGTTGTTCATTTTTTTTCCCATACAAACGTCATAAAATACCATAGTTACAACTATTGTATCGACTTGAATTTTTTCATAGATGATCTATACATTATAGCACTTGTTTGGAAAGTTGGGTTGGGACTAAAATAGTTATAAAAAGATAAAATAGGCTTTTTAGCCTTAAACTAAAAAATATCACATTAAAACCATAATCATTTCATTTTTTTTTCTCACAAAAGTCAAAAAGCCTATCCCAAACGAGGATTTTTAGTCTCAAAAAATAGCCAAAAAACTAACTCACATCTCAAACGAACTCATAGTATAATATAAAAGGTTCAAATAATCATGGTAATTACTACAGGAAAACATAGCAAAAAACACGGAGCTTTTAGCGACGCCGCGCCCCCCGTCGCAAAAAACGGTTTTTTGCGACGGTAACTTCACCCGTCGCAAATAATAGCCTTTAGCGACGGCACTTACCCGTCGGTAATGAAACTAAGCGGCGGGGTCGGAAATGCGGAAGTATTAGCGACGGTAAATAAAACCGTCGCAAAACACCTTTTTTTTTAGACGGCACATCTCATTTGCGACGGAAATTTGCCGTCGCAAAAAAGGATTAATTCAAACGGCGCCACTCACCAAACTTGTTGGCTGATTCAGCAGAAACCTGCATAAGTAGAACAGAAACAACCCATATGAGGACCAAAGAGTGTTCTCAATATAGATTGGTTTGCCAGTATAAATCTTCACAATTAGAAGGATTCACAAATGGAAGCTGACCTTGATTACTAACAATGTGCCAATCCCACCATACCCTCTATGCGCCTCTGCCAGTAGAATGACAAAGACCAGCATTAACTCTAATACATGAGTTAGAAATAATGATCTAGTAAAACTAATTAAAAAATATACAAGAAGTTGAGAACACATTTTTCAAGGGAAAAGAAGATTGTGCCCAAAAACAAGATGAAACATGCAACTCCGATGACAGTATGGTAAAGCTTACCAAGCATGTCTGGCAGAGGAAAACTGCAACACACATCACAATTCAGCAAAAAGATATGCGACTGAAAGAGAAAAGCACACGAGAATAATCAAATCACTTGATGTATCAAGAATGAAAATGGAAAAACGAAAAAGATGTAATTTATGTTTGAGCAAGACAATAAAGAAAGTCATAGAATTCTTGTTACATTATTATGTACCTAGAAAAACATCCTGAATTTGAAATGAGGATGACCCACCACACCCCACTAAGTTTAAATCTACACCATACATTCAAATTCTGAGCACTTTGTTTTTTATTTTATTTTTTTAATATTGCTTATGGGCATATAGTATTTCTGTTACTTTTTCTTTGATTATTCTTTTCTGTGGAAAACGAAGTATTTCCAGAAGTGTGTGGGGGGATCAGGAGGGTTGGACGTCAAAGCTCTTGGCTAAAAAGGATTCAAACACAATCCTCAGGCTACTGAACTTTGCTTCAATAACACTTTCTTTATGGATTTAAATATTCTACGAAATCTTTTTTTTTTTTATTTTTTTAACAACAATCTACGAAATCATTTGAAAACATAAAAACTTAATACAAATCAGATCAAGCACAAATGAGGGGACAAAAAGAAAATATACCGGAGCATCTTCCATAATCAGGTCTCGAAAGTAATAAAGGGCACCAGCTGACCCATGAGGTTTGTCTTCTTTCAAGTACCTAGAGCAGCACCAGCATCAAGAAATTGATTTAGAACCAATTCTTAAGAAGATTAAATTTAAATAAGACATGGTATGTATTTAAGTAACTTTGTGTTCTCGTCACCTCACTGGGACTTTAAGCTCATTAGAGATTGAAGAGACATATAGCGCGAATTCTCGATCTTCATAGAATCCAATTAGAAAAACTTGAGCCAAATTGGGCATCTACATCAGAGTAATCAACAAAACCAGCTTTACTGACAGTCAAATACTGAGAAATTACTCTGTTTTAAGCATTTTGTTGTTCTTCATTACATTTAAACCAATAAAACAAAGTCACACAAAGAATGCAAATTTACAAAACCCATTAATTGTGTTTGGTTTGGAGTTTTCAAAAATAATTTTATAAGTTTTCAATCTGTATTTATTTTGTTTTGAGTTGATTGTTTTTACCATTTTAATCCTTTTTTTTTTTTTACTTTTTAGATCCACTTAATCTAGGTACACTTAAAAAGTACAAAATTTGTGCAAAAATCTTTCAAAATTCATTGAATACAAAAAAAAAAAAAGAGAATATATTTTCGTATTTTGTTATATTCAATAAATTTTTAAAAGATTTTTGTAAAACTTCTATATTTTTTAAGTGTATATAGATTACGTAAATCTCAAAAGTATTAAAAAAAATGATGAAAATGTCAAAAAATTCACTAAAAAAAATTAAGAATTAAAAACTTGGAAAACCTTTTTTTGAAAACTCTAAACTAAAGAGTGAAATGTCTACCTTAATACCATAATATTATTATTAACTATCAACTCATCTAAACATTAAAGTTATTTTAAAAAAAACAAATTCCAACATATACAAGTCCACAAAAAAATCTTCTTGTAAGTTAGTTTTTTTTTCTTTTAGATCGAGTCTTTTAAGCATTGGTTTGGCATGAGGGGTTAGGGTGAGTTGGGCTAAAATAGTTACAAAAAGAAAAAATAAAATTTTTAGTTTCAGGTTAAAAAATGTCACATCAAATCATAATCATTTTATTTTTTCTTTCATAAAAATTAAAAAAAAAAAAACTCTTCACAAAAGAGACTTTTTAACCTCTAGACTAAAGCCAAAAAGCTAAAAAATCAACCCACATCCCAAACGAAACCTTAGGTTTATTTATTTATTTTTCCTTGTTCCTTTTTGGGTAATAGGGAGGCCCAAGCAAAACATAAAACAAAAAATAGAAGGTAAAATTACAAATCAATTGTATTTTTTCAAAATAATTACAACTCAATAATTAAAGTTTATAAAATGTATCATTAATTTGAATTTTTTTCTTTCAAATATAAACTGATTTGTTATTTCTCCAAATTAAGCATATTTGAGATTATATAAATAAATATATTTTTTAACTTTTTACAAAAAAAGAATAAATAAAAAAAATGATATAACCTGAATAAATACACTTATCTAAATAAATGCACTTATATAATACATGCAAAATAACCCCTACAACTAGAAATGAATACAATCATTACAAAAACAAACTTCTTAGCATCTGTTTGGGAAGTGGGTTGGCTTTTTGGCTTTTTGACTTTTTTGACTATATGAGCCTGAGCTCAAAAGCTTAGTTTGGGAAGGGCTTTTGGCTTTTTGACTTTTTTGATTTTTTTGTGAGAGAAGAATGAAATGATTATGGGTTGGATGAGATGTTTTGTCTGTTGTGACTCATGAGCCTATTCTGTCTTTTATGACTTATTGAGCCAAAAAAATCCAATGAGCCCTTGCCAAACCATCTGTGCTCCGATAACAAACATTGCAATAAAGAATACACTCAACAATTAATTGAATTGTACATTTTGGTCATCATCCAAATATATACTGATTTGGTATTCTTGGAATATGACATTCCATATTATTTATATGATGTTTTAAATCAAGATGAAAATATAAGTGGGAGTCTTAAAAAATTATAACAAGTCGATGAAAAAGTTTAAGAATTTAATTATTAATATTTATAAAATTTACTATTAATTTGTAATAATTTTTTCAAACACCCATTAATATGTATTTTCCTCTTAAATCAATTGCTTAGGCCCCGTTTGGGAACAAGTTAATTTAGTAACTTTTTAACTATTTGGCTAAAATATGAGCTAAAAAAAACTAATATGTTTGGGATGACTTTTTGACTTTTTACGAAAAGACGTGCAAAAAGTAGAGAGAAAAAAGAATCTTTGACTTTTTTGTATGGATTGTTGGCTTTTTGACTAATTTAGTAACTTTTTGACTTTTTGACTAAAATGGAGGGTTCCCAAACGAGGCCTTAATATAAAATTTTAGGAGAAGAATATGATTATTCATTTTTATTATACAGATGAGAAATAAAGAACAACTCACTTAGGTCTCTTTTGAAAAGAACATAAAAAGCCAAAAATTAGCTATTAATTTACTTTGAGTCACATCATCTTTTCTATTTTTTTTACATGTGTTTTTAAAGAAAATCAAAAAGTCAACTTTTAACCCACTTTCCAAAACAACTCTTAGGGTTGGTTTAGGATATTCTAAAAAAGTATACTTTTTAACTTATTGGCTTATATGGGTTGGGTTTGGATTGAGTTTGATGTGATGTGTTAGAGAGATGATGTGATTTAAATAAAATGATATAACTTAAATAGGATAGTGACTTTTTAACTTTTTATATTATTTAGTTTATGTCAAACCAACCCTTAATATATGTTGTAATTTTTTATTTACTAAAAGGATCACATCAACTATATGAAATGATATTGTAGCTAATAATTTCTTAATGGACTAGCGTCTCTCTAGTGAATGGACTAGACCATGTTGTCTAAGCCAATGAGACTCACCATGCCCCTACATCAATAATCAGAATCGTTTGATTTTTAAGTCATACGTATAAATCATTTATGAAAAAAATAAGTCAATCTAAAACTTGTACCTACATAACATTTTCACATTTGCCTTAAAAAAAATGAATAAACTAATTTCTGAAAATGTTGGTTGTTCATTTTTTTCCCCATACAAACGTCATAAAATACTATAGTTACAACTATTGTATCGACTTGAATTTTTTCATAGATGATCTATACATTATAGCACTCGTTTGGAAAGTTGGGTTGAGACTAAAATAGTTATAAAAAGATAAAATAGGCTTTTTAGCCTTAAATTAATGTTGGCTACACATTTTGTACTAAGCCAGTGACAATCCGACGTGTGGCGAAGTGAGGGTAATATGGGGAGACCAGGTAGGTCTTCGATCCTGATCATACACGTGGCAATTAATATTGGTTGTTATAGGATCTGAGTAGTAGCAGATCAACAAAGAGACGTACAGTGACGTGGCTTCAACGGTTGCTCACATTTCAAATTCGAATATAAGGGGGAAGCCTAACTGCAAGTGAAGGCGTAGTGGAACTACTTATAAGGTAGCATGATCAGCAACTACGGAGGAGCAGTTCGACGGTTTGAAGTACAATTCGATGGTTATCTTCGGAGAGTATAAATAGCAGGAAGGACTTCAGAGAAGGGACGAAAAAAACATCTAAAGAATCACTTTACGTATTCTAGTGTTATTTCATGTCCTTTATATTCCTGTATTTTAAGTTTCTGCGCTGCACTTCATTTGTAGGAGTAGTTGTCGAGTATATTGCTGCTGTAATTCTCTACGGAACTGAGATCATTGTAAGTTCTTTTATACTAATGAAATACTCCAGTTTAGTTAACTGTTCTTATGTTCAAATTTTCTGAAGTTAAATTACCAGTAAGCCACCAGTAAAAGTCCTCTTTATTGAGGCCGAAAGAACCATAACACAATCGTCTGAATAATTGTTTGGCAATTCTGTAAGGACTGATTGATCCTTGCTGGCACGCTCATAATTACGAAAGTAACATTCGAAAGCCAAAAAAGCCAACAATTAAAAAATATCACATTAAAACCATAATCATTTCATTTTTTTTTTTCTTACAAAAGTCAAAAAACCTATCCCAAACGAGGGTTTTTAGTCTCAAAAAATAGCCAAAAAACTATCTCACATCTCAAACGAACTCATAGTATAATATAAAAGGTTCAAATAATCATGGTAAGGCTTATAGTGGTATAAACAACACAGGTTAATCCATTCACTAAATTGAACTATAACCAGAACCTAAACCGTCTTTCCATCAATAGGAAGATGTGACATTAACATAAAAGCATGAAGAATACATTTACTAAATTCATCTTCGCCATTGTTTAGTCCATGCTTATCAAGTATATTATCATTTTTCATCTATCCAAACGCAAGTCTCATGTCTCATAAGTATTAAATCAATCATTGTGATTTAAAGTTAAAAATGGATAAATTTTTTGGTGTGGGTACTCAAAAATTACAACTAAATGTGTTCAAATAACATCATTATTACATAGTTTGATATACATTGTTAAATTTATTTTGTAAGAATTTAAACTTTTGAATTCAAGTCTCTCTATTAACATTAGCATTCGATTCCTTTGAATTATTTTTTTTCTGTTTTGTTGTCTCCAATCGGTTCCTTCTCTTTGTGTTTAGTTTTCGGTTGGTCTCCCTATCTGTAATGTGGGAGAGAGTATTTAAATAATTTGATATACATTGTTAAATTATTTTCTTCTAAATTAAAATTTTAAAAGAATTTAATGATTTAACCGACCCAATGTGATTCTCTCTCAACTTAATATAATATGAAACGTTTATCACATTAAATTATAACTTTTGAAATGTGCATGTGTGGATGCAAAAGATTGACATGCCATAAAAGAATAATACTATATATATTAATTGATATATTAATTAGTGTACAAATAAATGATACGACAAAATTTTAGAAGTTTTTAATATTTATAATTTATATAATGAGTAGGGTTAATAATAATATTATAAGATATGTACACTAGTTAGTATATCAATTAATGCATTTAATACCACCGTTAACTAAAAACATAAGTAGTTGTTGATGTATATATGGTATATATTCTGACATATATTAGGTATTGATTTCCTAAATATATTAGATACACTACAGGAATTATAGGTTTTGACGACGTTTCTTTAATGGCGTTTTATGAAACGCCACATTTTGTACTATTTAACGGCGTTTTTTAACCGTCGTTTTTGTTCAATATTAAAACGGCACCGTTTAACTATTTGAAGGCGTTGTAAAACGCCTTCGAATGTCCTCTCTCTGGCGAACTGGTAAATACAATCGTTCACTCATCAGGAGAATGCCCTAATCTTTTACTCACTCATCAGTCTATCGTTCGCTC